GAGAGAGAAGAAAGTACTGAAGAAGCAAAAGAAAAAAAAAAAGAAAAAAAAGAAACAAGGACTCTTCTTGGCAAAGCGTGAGATGAGGTGGGTGGTTGGGGATGAAGGTCACCATATTTTAAGTCTATCCCTTAGTAGGAGTTTTGGTATGGAAATTGCACAACTTAAGGGGTAACATATTCTGCGGTTTCCTCGCTCGGCCTGACAACAACGTTAAAATATGTCCAGGGAGGCAAACGATAACTGTTTTTCCTCCAAGGCTTTACTAATATCAACGTTTCTCGCACGGAGGCAATCCGACTTCCTTCCTTATCCGCATAGCCAGGCGTAGCCACGTTTTCTGGTACGAAGTAACGGTTAAAATTATTTTTTTTAAATTTTACCAAATATCTTCGTTACACGTGATTCCCTGGTAGCTTTGATACTGCGAATTGCGCAATTTCCTGATAGTCGAGTCGAAAATAATTTCCCCTACTAAATTAAGACGGTTATATCTCCCCCTGAGACAATATTTGTCTAATTGGCCGCTGCTATCGGAATTAGCGAGTAAAATATTTTTTTGGAAAATTAAAATTGTTCAAACCTCATCAACTTTTAATCCGTAAAGCCAAACAGGTAGAACGGGGTGACACGTGGGATTTATAAAATTTCTCCATTTCACGGGTGTATATATATATGTTATATTGAGAATTTTGGCATTTTGAATTTTTATCATCTCCTTTCCTATCTTACCCATAATTTGCAGTAGGTTTTTGTTATGGCAAAATTTATTCCGTGTGCCATTTTTCGGATCGGATTACTGATGGCTGGATATTTGCAAGCACTCGCCGTTTCTCTACTCACGGGTAACGTTCGATCTCAGATCGATGATCGCTGATCACAGTTGGATCGTTCCTTTATGGCGAAGGCAAACGGGGCAAACGGGGCAAACACGTGGCTATTGTTCCACGCTGTAGAGGAACGGCTGCGAATGCAAATGCACTCGCGAAACACACTGGCTGAATGTGCTCGGGATGTAGATGCGGTTTGCGAACGTAGTCTTTGACCGAACTGCGATTAGGTGGGGTGCGGTTTGCTTCCCGGTGAAACGTATCGAAGCCAGACGATAGCATCGCGAACACGTTTTCACAGAGGGAGAGAGAGAGAGAGAGAGAGTACAGTCCCAGTCGACATTCGGTGTGGACGTGCCAAGGCGTCCGTCACTTTTCCTTGTGATCGTTGGCAGCCGGCAGCTGCGATTTTGCAAAAATCGATTGTGGGTCTAAAGGTCGCGAAAATTTTGTTCTCCTGTCAATAGAGAACGGCTCGACGGTATCTGGCGATTTTATCGAATTCGTTGCTTATCCAGGTAGACAGGATCTTTAATTACATTGGTGCGATTTATTCGAGGATTATTGCTAACTTAAAAAATATTATTGAGATTGAAAAAGAATTAAATTAAAAAAATTGCAAAAATTTCCTCACCGGACGGAAGGGTCGGAGATTTTATCTTTTTGCCTTGCTAATATTTGAATGTCGCGAGACTCGTTGAAATTGATAAAAATCTTTTGCACGTGAAACTTTGAAAGGATCCTTCGACGGACTCACTGTGCTTTTGCCTTGGGGAAGTTTCGTCCCTTTCGTTTCATGAGGGAATCGCAGGGCGTCGTTATCGTTCAAAGAGAAACTCGTTCGTCCTTTCGCGAACGAGACAAACAAGGTGATAAATCTATCATAAAATCGCCGGGCCAAAGTTACGTCGAGTTTCAGTACTGCGAGGCGGCGAGACCGTTCTATCGGTTCGAAACTAGACGAATGAAATTCCAAAGGTTTCTCTTTCGTGTATCTGCCAGGGATTCCTCCTACGTGGTCACGTGCCATTTTATACCTAATTCGTACAGCCTGAAGCATTTTGAAACGAATCGATATCGTATTTTTTAAATTTATTCAGATTTCTTTTTTTTTTCGATTTTATTTATCGAGCTGCTTATTTTGGAATTTTCGAATTTTCGAGTACTCTCTTGACTTTATCGTCTGTTTGAATAAGTGAATCGAAGGCAGATTCATGAAAAAAAAAAAAAAGAGTTGAAAAAAATGTTGCCGTATAAGAGCCAAAGAGATCGCTCTTTGATTTCTCTGTCAGTAACTTTTGAGATGATTACGAGTTCAACTGAAATCTGTTTGCGTTAAGGCGTGCGGAGAAAATGCAAATTTGCCTCTTGTAATTTCGCACGAGTCTCCCTAGTGCGACTCTGAAGTTTGAAGAATATGCGAAGGATCCATTCAGGCCGCAAGTCAAATTACAAAGCCTGGAGTAAAAGAGAATGAAAAAAATGAGGAAGGAAGAAAATAAAAAGGAAACGCTGGAGGAGCAAGAAAAAAAATGAAAGCGTAAAAGAGGAAAACTCCCGTAGAATGGAAAATTCCTTGCTCGTTAGCTGACAAAAGCCGTATTTCAGAACGTATCGTAGTAACCAGTATTTTTATCCATTCGTCCGTCCTCAAAAGAGACGAATACCACAATTTACAAAGTGGCTGTTAGTTAATTTCCTCGGAGCTAAGAAGAAAAAAAAAAAAAACAACAACAAGAATTAAATTAACGAAAAAAGTGATTACAGCTTCCGTCCTACCGGAAGGAGGAAGCGATCGCGATTTTATCTCCTTGACGAAAGATCACGAGCACACGCAATTGGTAAGTCAAGTAAAAGGGACTCCCTTGCGTTTAAAACCATAAGAGGTTGGCCCCCCTCTCGAAGAAACATCCACTTCGTAGCCCTTACTCTACCACTTACCTACGTCATAAGTCTACCGACCTAACACCACAGCCAGTAATACACTAGTCTCATTTTCACCGTTGAACGCGTTAAGCCGCGTTCTCATTATCCTCCAGCGATTAAACGCCCGAACGGGCTGCCAGCTCTGCGTTTTCACGAAGCGACGACGTGCAGCAGCAGTTGGAGCTTTGACGGTGTAACGACCGGGAGTATCTTTGACAATGCGAATTAGACTTTACACAGAGCGCCAGCAGCTCCCATCTCTAATTACAAATAAATTCGATACAGGAAATTCCGCTGCTGCGTGAAAACCCGGCCGAAGGCGAAGTCACACCTGAGTGAAGCGGGCAGGGAGCGACTGTGGGCGAATCCACGTTGAAGCTTCGCGATCGCTTTGTTTCCTCCTCGTAGTAAGCAGGATCCCTTTGTGTCCAGCTAAACGGAATCCCTGCTCGCCCACTCTCTTAGAGCGCACCTTACTTTGGGTGGGTTGAAATTTTCCACTTTCGGAAAAGAGACGCATCCCTGGTCGTGTCTCTTTGTCGCCGCTTCAGTCCATTTGTCTCTTTGGCCTGTAGCCTGTCGGAACGGCCTTTGTATATATATCTATATAGAGATGTAATTGCCGGCTGTTCCTGGTGGCCCAGTGTCTTTGCTTCGGAGCGATGAATCCGTTGTCCCCTCCTTTCATAACCTTCCCGTGCGATACTCGAGAGTTGCAGCGGCAACGAGGGGCCAACTCGTGCCTCGAGTTTACTGTTCTTAGATGCGACGGGCATTAATATTGAAATTTTCATTATTCTCCTTTTGGCCGAGTGACGTCACGGGGGGCACCTCTCCGTGTTTTCTGTCTCTCTGTAGATGTAATTTAAAGTTTCTTAATTAGGCAGTTTAATTATTAATGTACTCCGTCTCTCTCGCTCTCGCGCGCTCGACGGGTATCATTACATATTCAGCACGGTAGGCGAACCGACGTTGCGTACGTTGCTTGATATTATGCATTTCGTATATCGCGAACGAAATAGCACGGACATACTTAATTCGTGCCGGAAGGCTTGCTTGGGACGGAACGAACGTGGAATTCGAGGGGCGCGAAGGAGCTGGCTAATTAAACGAGTGCGTTAAGCGTAGAGGGAATTTAGAAATTTTCTTTTTCAACTTCTCGTTCTCGTGGAAACACTTGCCTGCCCTCTGGCGAGCGGCGGTGGAACTAATCGAATGAAAGTCGGCTTTACTATTATTTTCGGCGTGGCGCGAAGAAGGGTTGCCAGTGAAATGAAATTTTCTAAAGGGTTTCGAAAGAGAAAATTTTTTTTTATCTACAGGGTGTACCGGATATCGCGAATCGAAGCAACGTCAACGCCCCTGCCATTTCGGTGGTGCGTTTCGCGAGAATTGACTAGAAGTTCATAAATGACAATTCAATTAAGCGAAGCTCGTTTTGTTCGCTCCCTAAATATTTTCTGTCAAATCGAACTGCCGAATTATCAGTATTGGATTAATGTCGGCGTACCGGACAGGCCAATAAATTTGAACGCGTTTCGCGTTGCTTTTGCCTGGTAAATTCGCTCGAGATATTAAAGCAAGCAATATCGATCCCGGTGGGAGATCGTTTTCGTGTATGGGATTTATTGAAAATATAAAAATAATAGAAAAAATCGGAAAATACGCCTGGTCGAGACACTAGCGAAGTTTCTCTCGAGCATGGATAATATTTTTTTCTTTTTTTTCTTTTTCTTTTTCATTCCTTTTGCTCTCCACTATTTTGCTCTCCACTATATCCGCCGTGAGCGTCGCGGGGACACATCTGCCGGGATCCAATTACTCAAAATTGTCCCTACTTTTCTATTTGCTTTTACTGTGGATTCAAGGACAAAATTTCCGGCTCAACGGATTCCCAAGACAATAAGGGATTTTTATTTATTCTCCCGCATTCCTATTGCCGCCGCGTTCGTTTCGCGATCTCGTATCTCCATTTCGTGTCTCTGCTCCCTCCGTGTCGTTATCATCGATCCGATAATGCTTCTCCTGCCGAACCTAAATGCCGCGACTGATCCAGGTCCGTCTGGTCCTCTCGTAAGAATCCATAGCAAACGTCAAAAAAAAAAAAAAAAAAACGTCATGCGCTCCTAAAAACATATTTCACGAAAAACAGCCAGCCTTGAAATTCCTGCAAATAAAATATGGTTAATTAGGTAAAATGAAAAAAAAAATTTTTTTTTCTCTACAAACGTGAAACGCAAAAAATAAAGATTCCCGCCCTACCATTCATTTCGATTATTTAATTATTTACAGGGATCACGTATACAGGCTCATACAAAACTATAAGGCATTACCGCAAGTGGTTTCCACCTCGAGTATCAAATGTATTCCAAGTGACTTCGGGCGGCGCGTCAATTCCGAACGATCCTGTGAATTCTTTATTGTCTCCTGTATTTTGAGGGACACGTGAGGCGTCTCTGATGCGAGAAGAAATATAGTGACTAAGGATGTTGTTACGGGTTACACACGACAACCTGTCAGGAGCATTTGCAGCTGTAATTCCATGAAATTGCACGAGGCGCTGTGAAATTACGTTGAATCGCGGAAAGGGATGTTTCCTCCCCCTCCGCCCCCC